GTATTCGCATCGCTCTGTGTAACATGAACAGCGAACGGTCCATAAGACTCTGGCAGGCCCTTCAAAATCATTGCCACTAGCAGTCCGTCGCTTAACGTTTCACCGGCGTTTCTCAATGCTGTGATAGTGGTCTCTGCACGTATAACATATTCAGTCACGCTTTCGGTACTTAACTTTTGAAGTGAAGTCAGTTCGGTACACAGGCTTATTACCCTGGGTTTTCCTTTTCCAGCATAGTAGTCTCTCAAAATCTTCAGTGCTCCTCGGCCATTGTCCGCTGCATCTCTCATTACCAGCGACAAACTTTTATCATCGAGAAACTGAATCAGCTCCGCGTATGCCTCAGCATTTTTATCTTCCTCTTCATCATCTCCACCGTCTGGCTCGTTTAGAATAATGTCCTTTAAACCTTGTAGCCGGAGATGGCCCAAAAATTTGGTCTCCCACAGTTCGTAGTTCCTTTCATCTCCGTCAAAAACCAGCCGTGACCATCGGCCACTTGACTCGTAGGCTCTTCTACTCATGGCGCTAGCTTAGCATGCTAACTCACCGGACACGCGGTACGTCGCGACTTTTCTCTCGGTGATAACTCGTTGGAAACTCTCTGGGTAACTCTGGGCCCATAACCTGTTAGCAGAGATGGTTCGCTCAACGGTCCCGGCGTTCATACCCAATGCTAGACCGAATATTATCGCAGTACAAATAACACAAGTGGAGCATCATGGCTGTTTGACTTGAACTGAGTCATCTTTATTGAACGCAGGTTCACTTGACCTCTGTTAGGTCACATGTCCATTCAGGGGCATCCTATTGGCTACCGCTTAACACACAATACTGTATATAATGTATAGGAAAAGTAAATATAACAGATTGTGACAATGGAGGGCATATACTCCTATATGTTAACACCACTGCCCGTCATTACATATTACATATTAATATTGATAGGACTTCATATACTATTGTTCAACAACTACCTCAACAACCCATCCTTTTCCTTTGGCACCCCGTAACTCCACACCTTCTCAAAAGGTGTTTCACCTGCGATACATTTGTTGATCATTTCTGAGGAAACTCAACAGTTAAATCCAAACGCCTCCTGATGCAACTTTGCAAAGCGCCAAAGCTGCTACTTCATCTGCTTGTTGCAGTGGAGTTAAATTTGTCCTTGAACTTCGGTCTGTGAGAACAGTGAGCGGACTCACCACCTCTGTGCACTTGTTGCCAGACAGTTCAGTTGCATCTCAGAAAGTCTTACATAAAGTATGAGTTTAAAAAGCACCTTCTCAAACATTTCTGTGTGACTGATGAAAGCAGAAGCATGCTGCATTTATGGCACAATCCTTTTTCATTCTCCAAGACCTTTACAGACCGAGCTGCTTCATAGGTTTGAAACACGAGTTCAACACCACTGTGGCAAATCAAGCAAGTACGCCACTGTGAGGGTTCACAGATCAATACTACACACACGCACAGGCGTCCACATTGAAGGAGAAAGAGAATAACTGTTATCGTCTCCAATCTCAACCAAATAGGAGTCACATGTCCTGTGAAGGCATGAGGCTTCGTATCACGCCGCAATCTGCTGACGGAACAATAAGACTAGTGTTGCTGCAGACCCTCAAAGGTGAGAAGCACGTCCTCCCTCCCTTTATCTCTCTGCGAGTCCACCCGTCTGCTCAGTGGCAGAAGCAAGAAAGGCAGTGGGAGGTCTTCCGCCTGAGGAGGTTCATCCAGAAGATCAACAACGGAGGCAAGGGTGCTGCTGGAGAATGAGTGCCGCGTCCATCCGGCTGAGCGAGCGGGTCCTGAGCTGCTGGCCGGCTGACGGAGGAGATGGTGGTGCTGGAGGAGTACGGAGGAGTGTGTTTGTGTTAGAAAACCAGCGCATTTAGCGCTTTTTTATTTCTGCAGAGGTAGCGGAGATGGATGTGATGACTGCCTGAGAGAGAGAGCCTCCCTCGTGTCTTATTACCGAGCCTATGTCATAACTACACACTATGGAGAGAGACTTCTCTCACACTTTAAATCTCTTTCTCTGATGAATCTGAAAGCTTTCTGCCCATTAGCTGTTTGCGTTGTGTTACTCACATCTGCCCTTTAGACAGGAACACCGATAGAAGAGTGTACTGTTGTCAAGAGGAGCTCAGTGTGGACCGGCCATCAACGCCGGAGGAGGATGATGGCCTCAGGGGGGAATTAAAACGCACAGTGACATATGCACACAGACGCACATGTCATTGCAGCGTTGCCTCTTGGGCGCAGTGGTGTCCCTCAAGCTGCAGTTTGGTCATTTCACTGGTGCCGAACGTTGATTTGAGGGGGAACAACGTGTCCCTTTTGTCTCTAAACAGAGAGGGAAAGTCCAACCCTGGAGAGGGTCAGAAGGACACATCTGGCTCCTACCTGTGTAACAAGGCTGACAGCGCCGATTCCATCAGAGTCTTATTATAATATGTTATGTTAAGTTAAATTCTTCGATCAGAATCGACCAGAAAAAATTGTAAGAGGATTCCTAGACGCCCATAACCAAAGGTGTCCGGCAGCAGAAACGGGGCAAGTGGGGTTGGGCGGAAAAAATAAAATATCTAAAACTGACAAGCAGCACATTCATGAATGTGTGTTAAAGAAAAGGCCAGTTTTTAAAACTTTTCCCCCAATTTTTGCTCATTTCCGCTTCAATTCCTCTTTTCTAATGTCTGTATTTTCAGCAATGTTTTGATATTCATGCCTGTACTTTCAACAATTTTCCAAATTCATTCCAGCTTTTCTCATTTCTGTATTTTTGGCAATTCTTTCAAATTAATTTTAGTTTTTCTTATTTCTGTATTTTCAGAAGTCTTTAAAAAATTCATTTCATCTTTCAGTATTACAAAGCATTTTCAAACATGTTTTTAATAACATGGGACAGTAAGACAATGAGACAATGGACAACAAGTGTGTCGTTGAATCTTTCTGCAACCGGAAAATTGCGTCATGTTGCAAAGAGTAAAAACTGTGACAGAACAATCCCTTGTAATGTGTCCTCCTAGTAAAGTCACAAATAGAACACAAATCAATGGAGTAACACCAAGGAGATGACTTTCAGAATAACAATAAGAGCTCTACTGATTTTAAACTACTGCTGAAGCTATCAAGTTCTGAGGGGGATTGTAGCACTTTTCACATATATATACACACACATATATATATATATATATATATATACACATTTATATATATATATATATATATACACAAACATACATACAGTATATACCTTTCACATATATATATATACAGTATATACAGCTCACATATATATAAATACAGTATATACAGCTCACATATATGTCCATCCATCCATCCATTGTCAAACCGCTTATCCTGCACACAGGGTCGCGGGGGGGCTGGAGTCCATCCCAGCCAACTTCGGGCGATAGACAGGGTACATCCTGGATTGGTCGCCAGCCAATCGCAGGGCTACACAGAGACACACAACCATTCACACTCACATTCACACATCTACGGGCAATTTAAAGTCCCCAATTAACCTGATCCCCAGAGCATGTCTTTGGACTGTGGGAGGAAGCCGGAGAACCCGGAGAGAACCCACGCAGACACGGGGAGAACATGCAGACTCCACACAGAAAGGCCACTGGGCGGAATCGAACCCAGGACCTTCTTGCTGTGAGGCGACAGTGCTGACCACCACGCCACCGTGCCGCCCCACATATATGTATATATATATATATATATATACACAGTATATACAGCTGACATATATGCATATATATATACAGTATATACAGCTCACCTATATGCATATATAGCCCTACACATATAGTGAGCAATGCTCTGGAGGAAAGTATCAACAACAACTCATTCCAGTCAGTAATTCTTAGTGATTTTTTTGTCGCCGTGGCCCCTGAACGTATTCATTGTTCTCTCTTGTTTGATGAAATTGTACTTTCTTGTTTCTTGTTCTTCTGAGTTTGTATCCTTATGGTTGAAATGCACTTATTGTAAAACGTGTTATAATCATTCGCAGTCTTTCCCCACCGCTTTGAAGAAGAATATCGGTGCACATCCTTGACTATTGTCCCATTTCTAACAAACCTAATAACCAAAAGTCATTCATTTGTTGACGTCTGTGACTTTAAAACAACTTCAACATGCTACGAATACTACCGGTTGAAAGTTTTCTATCCACTATCCCCTGACTTTGACTGTAGCAACAAGAAAACGTTTGTGTTTTAGTGAATATTGGATGTTTCAGATTACATTTGGTATAAATATTCTCAGAATTAATTATGTAGCTCCTTTGGCATTGTCAAAATATCACCGTGTGCAACACATTGCCCTCAGCTGTACTTCATCCTTCCTGCTGATTAACAAAAGCCTGCTCGTCCCGCTAAACTAACATGGTGAATATAGTAAACATCAGCATGTTAGCATTCTGTTCATTTAGATTAAGCATGTTAATTTCGTTTCTTGTTAAAATCAATTATATTCATGTTTTTCATATATATGAAAAAAATGTTTTCCAAATGCAAAAATACATTTGTTAATTCATACTAATTCAGACTATCAGCAAACACCTGAAATTTGACTGAAAACGGTTCTATTGTGGTGGTACTAGTGTTTTCTGCATTATTCATTAGAATAAGGAATAGATGGACTGTTAACTACAATGTTAATGCATATTAACAGCCTGAAAAGGTGACACGATTGATGTGGATGCAGATTAAATGCAATAGTTTGATATCTAATGCTCCAATCCAATTGTTGCTGCACTGTTTGTCATGGAAAGAAGAACAACAATGGGGCGAAACCAAGACACAAATGGAATAGCGATGATTAATCCCTGTAGGAATATCCTTAAATAAATGTAAAATAAGGTAATATATACATAATCTATATAGTTACTGGTTTTACACTATTAATACAGAGGCACATTGATGAAATGAACTGCTTGTCTTGTAAACAGCCTGTCTTCCTGCAACCCCTCCTCTGCATCAGAAGGGGAGGGGTTGCAGACTATTGACACGGTGCACACGGAGACTCAGCAGCTACTTCTGGAGAGCTGATCGGAGACTCTAGAGAGGCGCGGAGCTGGAGCTCCTTCACGTTGACACCAGGGCAGGGAGGACTGTTGGAGATGACCGGACATCAAGGGCAGCAAACCTCAAATCTGGGAAATATTCCCTGTCCCGAGAGCTTAAAGGTCACCAGGAACGTTTGATCTAAAGAGGCACAAATATTGGATTTCTGCTCCGGCTGTGATTTAGGTGAGTAAGAGCTTGAACTGTCGTGACCGGAGAATGCTAATTGATTGATTTATGGTCTCTAAATAACAAAAAAACAAGGCTCTTTCCAGCGTTATTGATGTTAGGTTTCGACTACTATTGACTTTAAACTGAAATTCCTTAACTTGATCATGTCCAAAAAAAAGACGTATGACAAGAAATCATTTAATGAAACACCAGACAGAACCATTTTCCTGTGCTTGTGGGAAAGTGCTTGTTCGCACAAAAGTCAGACTGTCCTATCTTTAGCCAATGTAAAAAATAATGTGCATTATTTTGACCCCCTCTCTCAGGCAGGGTGTGTCTGCCTTAATTGTGAGTTTTAATGAGTTTATAGATCATGGGATGGCAGCATAGGAGCTTAAATCACCTGATACACCCTTGAGTCCTGATCTGCCCACTAGACAGTGGGCAGATTCTTTCATCAAAGGTCCTTTTCCTGTAGTCAGAAAAGGCCTAAATGCAATACTCTCTTCCAAATTGTGTTCCAGGCACGCCCAGAGAGGATCAGTTGTGGCCTTGTTGGATTTAAAACTAACAGATTTACAACAGACCTGCGGGATGAAGACTCCTCTCCTCTGCTTGGAGCTGCTCCTCTTGGCGAGTCTCATCCTTCTGGCGACTGGGCAGCTGGAGCCAAAGGAGCAAGACCTCCTTGCTGTTACCCAGAGGCTCGGCCTCGTGGAGAGAGACGTGCGGGGTCTGGTGAGGCCCAACATCTCCATGCCCCGCCGCCGGCTGCCGCCCATGTGCACGGGTCCCACGGAAATCCGAGACACGTTCAAGTACATCAACACGGTGGTGTCCTGCCTGGTGTTTGTTGTGGGCATCATCGGGAATTCCACTCTGCTGAGGATCATCTACAAGAACAAGTGCATGCGCAACGGGCCGAACATCCTGATCGGCAGCCTGGCGCTTGGAGACCTGCTGCACATCGTCATCGGCATTCCCATCAACGTTTACAAGGTGAGCAAGTCAACATCATGTTTTGGGCCTCAACAGTGTTTTATTCGTCAGTATAAAACTCAATCAACTCTTGCTGCACTCTTGTCTAAGGTCAAACATTTTAGCTCAAAATTGGATTTTAAATCTGTGTGTAAACACACCGACAGACACACAACATTCTTTCCTAATACACACGTCTGTAGACACACACTCTGTCTCTGTGTTATTACTTTACTGGATCCTGAGCCTCTGTATCCCGTTATGTGCCTGGCATGTTATTATCTATCAGGCCCTGTGTGTGTGTGTGTGTGTGTGTGTGTGTGTGTGTGTGTTTGGGTAAGGGGGCATGTTAAAACAACTGGCTGCTGTTGCATACCAGAGACATGAGAGACACGGGCGCTGTGGGGAGACACCGGGTTACACATGATTCCAATTGACACTCACTTTTCAGTCCCTCACACAAAGCAGACGTGAAAAGTTTATCCTTGTTTAAGACCGCGCAGGTCCGCAGAGTTCTGATCTCCAGGAGATTTATTCACTCTTTGGGTTTAGTGTTTTGAAACCAAACAGTGGCTGTTTTGTGAAAAAGACCAAAAAAAAGTCCTCTGACTGAGAGAAAAGAGAAAGCTCTTGGTGATCACAGAATGCGACAGATGAATGTTTACGGATATCGGGTCAGCACCGGAGCCCTGAGCCTGGGGAGAACCGTGTGGTACCAGAGGATTCATGGTTAAAGTCTGTCATCACCTCTTGTCCCTCACCAGCTCCTGGCAGAGGACTGGCCTTTTGGAGTGTCTCTCTGCAAGATTGTGCCGTTTGTCCAAAAAGCCTCCGTGGGGATAACGGTGCTGAGTCTGTGTGCGCTGAGTATTGACAGGTAATCCGGTTCCTCACCACTGGAGCGCTTCTCATATGCAGATGTCATGTAACAGTCTCAGAGGAAACAGTGATGTTTACCTGTTCACAGATGTTCATAATGTAACGAGCCTCAGAGGGATACAGGGATCTCCAATACTTTAACCATTTGAAGAATAGCATCATATTTGAAAATCTTCTTCTTTTGCATCTGACCTCAGTTAAGCTTACTGGCTTTTGGCATCATTTGCCCTACGGACATTACAGCGGAATGTGTTTAAACTGTCACTTTAACTCGCGGTCGGTTGATGGCGATCTGACATGCGGGCTCTTCCAGGTATCGCGCCGTGGCCTCGTGGAGCCGCATCAAAGGGATTGGAGTTCCAAAGTGGATGGCAATCGAAATAGCGCTCATCTGGATATTGTCCGTCATCCTGGCCGTGCCAGAAGCCGTAGCCTTCGACATGATCACGATGGACTACAAGGGAGAACACTTGAGGATCTGTTTGCTGCACCCCATGCAACAAAACAACTTCATGGTGGTGAGCTGTGACGCGCACACACACGCACACACACACACACACACACACAATTAAATGTGGAGGGAAACAGTGTTAGTTGACACAAGCCGCAAACCTGCTCGTGCACGCATAACACACACTGACACGTACACACACACACACAAGGAAGCGCAGACGTGCACGTTGGCTCGCACGCTAACCTGGGTAGGAATATTTGTGTATGCTTTCCATTGTGTGAGAGACCACACGGGGTCACACACAGTTCATAGACGGCGAGGCATCATCAAACTGCACGTCACGGAGTTATTGCTCTCCTGGCTGACAGGAAACACTGCAGCTCCTGCGTGTGTGTGTGTGTGTGTGTGTGTGAGTGTGCGTGCGTTCACGTGTCTTCTATCAACCTTAAAACAACAACTGTTAATCATTTTAGTTCCACAAGGGGACTTTGAGAAATTGATTTTTAAACAAAAGTCAACATGAGTTTGAGACACATCTTGAGTCTGTGCAGGTCAGACTGAGGAAACTTCCCCTAAATCTGCTTCTGAACGGTTTCCACTTTAACGGTGAACTCTGTCCTGCACACGCTGGAGCAGAACTCATCCATGTTCTCCTATTTCCTCCGTGAAGTTTTACAAATCAGCAAAGGACTGGTGGCTGTTCAGTGCATATTTCTGCCTGCCGTTGGCCTGCACTGCTATTTTCTACACCCTGATGACCTGCGAGATGCTGAGGAAGAAGAACGGAGTCCAGATTGCTCTCAGTGACCACCTCAAACAGGTTGGCTTACGCGTCATTTACCCCTCAGGCCAGCGGTTCTCAAACCTTTGGCACCAACAAAAACGTGACAAAATGGTCCATGTCAAATTCTTATTGAAATAATGACATTTTGTGACTCGGTGTTCTTTTATTAATAATAGAAAAGGTCTGTGTTCCGTGTTCTCTCCATGTTGAGACACTGAAGCTCCATAATTACTATAAGAATTTTACCACGTGGGATTAATAAAGGATTATGAATAAATTTGAAATATTTATTTATTTTTAATTTCCCCCAGTAATACCTCCGCGCCCCACAGTTTGAGAACCACTGCCCCAGGCCGTGGTTAGTGACCGTCCTCACGTTAAGTGTTAAGAGAGTCGAGATTGTACTTTTGATCAGTGGCAAACACAAAAATAACCCACGGCCGTCGGTTACCATCAACTCGACACAAGGTCTCTCACCAGCGCGACTAATTGGAGCAAGTTGCAGCCTGACTTGGTTATTCAACAGATTACTTAATTTTTTCTGATTTATGAAAAAACCTTTAGGCAACAACTTTCCACTGAAACGTTCTTTGTGTAAAGGTTCCCTGCGTACCGTCTGCTGACACAATCGGTCGGCATGCGCTGATTTATGTGCGTCTGTGTGTGCAGCGCCGGGAGGTGGCTAAGACGGTGTTCTGTCTGGTTCTGGTCTTCGCCGTGTGTTGGCTGCCTCTCCACCTCAGCCGTATCCTGAAGCTCACCATCTACGACGAGAAAGATCCAAACCGCTGCGAACTGCTGAGGTAAGAAAAGTCAGGAGGACGGAGTGGACTTTATTATATAGGAGAATAACGAATGACCCCGCGTGCGTCTCTGTAACCCTTTCAGTTTCTTTTTGGTGTTGGACTACATCGGCATCAACATGGCATCCGTGAACTCCTGCATCAACCCAATCGCCCTCTACGTGGTCAGCCAACGCTTCAAGAACTGTTTCAGGGTGAGGCGCAACTTGGGGAAATTCACGTTACGTTTTCATAGCAAATAGTTGTTTGGGAATGTTCTTAACCCATGAGTTCTCTGTCCCTCCTCCAGTCCTTCCTCTGCTGCTGGTGCCTACCGGCGGAGATGGTGATGGACGAGAAGCAGTCGTGCATGAAGCTGAAAGTCACAGAACGGGCCTCCGACCAGAGCAACTCTCGCGTGACCAACAAGTCTACATCGGCCTGAGGAGCAGCTTAAAGTAAGAAAGGTCGATGTAGAAGTGGAGGTGGGGGCGACTGAACGACCACATCTACAGCATCATACCGACTTTGCTTTGAATTTTAAGACTTTTTGACTCCTTAAACTATATTAATACTGGAGCGCTGCCCGAGAGGAAAAGAGCAGCACTGGACTAAAAAACACTACATTTCTGGATAACGAGTGAGACGTGTGTGAGGCCGCCAAGCTGCCGTCCAAAATACCAAATATCGACCACCAAGCTTTTCATAAGGGTTTCATAAAATAGGGGGTCAAAGGTCGATTAGCAACCATCGCTCATCAGGCTTTCGGTCTGGTGGTGACGTTGACACTATGAATCTGAAATTACATCTGAGTGAGACGCTGTCAGCGGAGATGAAACAGTGAATCCAAAGAGCTCAGTTGAGATTTGTTGATGCATCTGTTGCCGCACGCTTCATCCCTCAGTACCATCACGGCCGATGGGCCTCGGTCAGGACAAAGAGGAGTAGGACGGAGAATTCATCTTATAACTTTTTTTGTTGAGTAAACTTTTACAATAAAGTTACTGCCATGTGGATTCATTTTGTATTATTACAGTGTACCAGTATTGGTGATGTGAATTACCAGACGCAGAGATAACTAAACATTTAACGGCACTTATAATGGTGATTATTAAACTATTGCTGTTTTTAGCCATTTTGCTATTGTATAATTAATGCTGTTCAATATTGGGCCCATTATTGAGGCTTCCATGCAAAACGCAAGAATATTTGTTCCGTATTATTACCTAAATCTGACTTTACTTTAGCTGGTATGGCCAGAGGAAGGGGTTACTTTTCAAAGAAAAACAGTTAAGCATAAATCTTCTGACACATAATCACTTATGACTGTGAATGTTCTAGCTTTTCCTCTGTGTGTGTGTGTGTGTGTGTGTGTGTGTTTGGTTTAAGTGTGACAGCATGCAGCATCATGTGATGGTGAACACTGAAACAGAACATTACTGTGATCTCTCGATTTCCTCTCAACTTCTTAACTTCAGATCTCACGCACGCACGCACGCACACGCACACGCACACACACGCACACACACACACACACTCTCATTTGGGACCTGGGAATGTTCCTGCGGGCTAACCCAGTGTCACGCATGTCGCGTTAGCTGTCAAAGGAGCGCTCTGTTCTCGACTCGTGTCTTCCTCTCATACCCTCGTCTTCACTCCCTCTCTTTGTGTTTGGGGGGAGTTTGGACCCGTTCCCGCTCCTCTTGATTCGGTTTCCATTTACGGCTGAATTCCTGTCCCCCCTCCTCCCAACACCTGCTCGGCCTCTTTGGTTCCATTACTGTTTCAAACTATTCAGTGGTTGCAAATGAAATCAAACCCAGTGCTGTGACCTCGAGGGAAAGGAATCACATGTGGTCCATTCCTCACTCAATCATCTGCTTTCCTACGTCCAGCTGGGTGAAGCCGACATTGGTCCTCCACTAATGGGTTTCATTTCCCTGCTACAAAAGGTAAATGTGGTTCAGGGAGCTACTTACCAATGTTGTCTTCAAAATGAAGAAACACGGACAAGACGTCTCGTAAGAAGAGTTCAAATCCAAAGTATTTAATAAAAGAAAGAGTGTTGTGGTGAAAAGAACATCTCAGCTGAGGAGCCGCAGGTCTCTGCAACCAACAGGCCACAAAGCTGCCCTTTGACCCCCACAGTGCCCGTCTGTTGCCTCCACCAGCAAACTGCCTACAGGTATTCATACAGATCAGGTGAGACGGTTAGTGTCCTCGCCCCTGGCAGTGGTCTGCTGGTGAGTTCAATGTAACTTTGAACGTCTCTCGGTCATTATCAGTTGTGGTGCTATAAAGTATTACATGCATGCAGTTAAGTTGATTAAATTACATTAAATACAATCACAAATAAATCAAATCCAGCTCATGATCCATTTAGAGCCTCCTTTGCTCCAAAAGTGTTGCGTTTGAAAGTAAAATGAGGTGTTGGCCCAGGGGATGTTGACTTGGTAAGTCGTGATCCCCCACAGGGCTCAAGAGAACACGGTGATTAAACCCTTTGTGGAAATGTGCTTATTGAGACCGTTCATACCTCAATAACCCACCCAGTGACAATGGATGCACCACGCGAGCAGCCGGGTATAATCTGGTTTAATCCAGCGGACTTTAAAACAGAAGCCAGCAGGTTGTGGTTTTACGAGGAGTTATGAGAACCTTTCTTGGGCGAGCACAGAACCTCCCTATGCTAAGCTTAGCTAAGCTAAGCTAACCGCCGGCTGATACCGCCGTGCCACGGTTTTTATTATTCATTCTTTAAGTGATCAAATAAAACATGTTCCTTTAGAACTAATTTAGTTAGCTTTGCATAAAGACAGCGGTCTTTATGCAAAGCTGCAATTAATCGTTTGGCTGCAGAGTGACATGAAAGTGGCACTGATCTCCCTCAGGGACGAACCTGGAAGAGCGCGGCCCTTTTTAACTTAAATCCAATAAATGCAGGTAAACGTTTAGTTTCAGCAGGAACTAATATACTGATACAGTACTATAGTACTATTACTACTATTGAGGAGAGTTCATTTGACTTTTACGGCAAAGAGAATACAGATGAAAACCTGCAGAAGATTGATGCCAAAAGGTTAATGAGAGAACGCACAGAATTTAGCAATAAAACTGTTTTGTAAACCTGAGGTTCTGTCACCTCGAAACACAGTGTGGACTTCTCCTTCCGAACTGCTTTGAACATCGGGACTGCACGTCCTTCTCGGTACACAGCACACACACACACACACACACACGTGCGTCACATTTGGCCACGACAAACGCACAAACAGGCCGCATACCAGTACACACAGTTTGTTCTGTCCTCCCTGCAGTTTGAGGATTGAGGGGTCGATGTCATGGGGGTCATTCCAGCGGTTGGGGTGGAAAAAGACCTGGTCTGGCCCCTCTCGGCTCACTCGTTATCCAAGCATTCTGTAAATGTTTTCCCACCCCAACAATCCCCCATTTGGCATATTCACACAGCGTGTTGGGCGGACAACGCACGCCAACCACATCCAAAAACAATTATCAGGGCTGGACATGATGTTTGACTTTGCATTCAAATATTTGAGCAGCAGCTCTGGTGGCTTTTCTTAAGCTTCCGGGGCTCATAGAATAATATGCAAAGACATATAGCTTCATCTGTTAGCTTTCTCTCTCCTTCCTTTTCACCTCAGCTGGATGCTTCTCACATAAACACCAGGACGGTGCACAGTTACTGATGTGGAAAAACTGCTGGCTTCCTCGGTCGTAGAATAGTTAGAAGATTGATGGCACAGGGAGGAGAGCTTTCAGTAGGGCCTCACTACCTCTGATATCTGGAAATAAAACACTACAATATGTGTGTGTGTGTGAGAGATTGTGTGTAGTTCAGCCAGGGAAATACTTCTTGGTAATAATGTCGAATCAAACTCAGACCAAAAAGGTATCTGAGCTGGAGCCTCTGCATCAGAGCAGGGGTGAGGGACGCTTATCAACGCCGTCCACGTGAGAGATTTGTCTGATTTGAGGGGCCGTTTTTGGTCAGACGTCATTGATTTCACGCCTCGAAAGGTTTGATGAATGACACAAAAGCTCTACTCGTCTCTCGCTCTCACGGATTTGGAAATGTTCCACTTGAACACCTTCTGCTGCAGACGAATTCATCAAACCGCCGTCCCACGGACTCCCATCCAGCTCAGTCCTACACGGTTACTGTCCCTCGTCCTGCTCATCTGACAAGGTGGTGACGAGGACAGAGACGGCGATACAAACAGGACCGTGGTCATCGTGTAGCTCACATCAAGTCAACACGTTCCCAGCTGTTCAGTGAGTTCATATCAAAGCCGTCTCCTGTTATGCAGACACATAGAATAAAGGCTACAGCGAACACACGCTGTCCCGCTGACACATATTTCTACCGCCTCGCAAAATGCGTTTTCAAAACAGCAAACAGACATTTACGTTTCATAAACTGAGACTAGAGACATTCTAGCAGTCTCCCCCATCAAATCCTCAAATGAGTCAAACATTGAGTGAGTGGAGATGGGTTACGTTTCATTGTTTAAGGCCATTTCTTGGCAGAAATGGAATATCATAAATCATTAATATGATTAATAAATCATATGAATTATTTTGTAGCTGATCACCTGAAAATAAGAGTAGACATTCCGTGAGATGAGCAGCTGTCATTCAGACCGCCGGCTTTGTGAAGGCCACGTTTCTACAGCAGCCATGAAGGAACAAAGCAAACGGCGGCACTCAGCCCATCTGTGTTTTCCCGTCGGCCGGCGTTGTTCTGTAAGCCGCTCGGGAGACGGTTCAGCGGGTTGCAATTTACAGCTAAGAGACTAGATGTCCCTAAAACCTGCACACTAGTACTTTCATTAATCCAAAAACAGCGATAGATCTGTTGTCCTCCAGTACGTTAAGGACAAGTGCACCTTTAGGAATCATGTTGCACAATTGAAAATGGGGTTTTTGAGGTAATTCTGCGTCAATCAATCAACTATTTAGCGATGGCAACGCTGAAACGGAAAAGGTCAAACAACGTTAACTTTTAAAAAAGAAAAGAAAGAATGTACTTCCTGTGCTGACTCCGTCTCCCCCTAAAGTAACACAGTCCTTCATCATGTCAGCTACATACAATGCAAATTTGGAGTAAATTCTACCAGCGTCCTTCCCGCTTGCACATATTGTAATAATAAAACCATGCCCTCTGATACTCTGTAAAAATGTATGGCAGAAAGCCAAACCAGCACATTCCTCAAGCTGCCTGCAGTTTCAGACGTGGGGAAAAGAATGTTCCAAAATAAATGGATAGTAAACTTGATTTATTCTGCCTTGACAGACATATTTTTGATCTGGTTAAAATATTTTACACACAAATTTGAAACACGCAAAAGTGTTTGTAATAATTATCTGATTCTATAGCAGGAAGAATCACACTATATATTTGTGAACGTATACCAGCAAAGTACTGGAAGCTGGTTTCTCCTGCACGCTGTTTACAGACAGGAGAGTTCTGCAGAACCGACCGGACAGACGCAGCGAATCCGGCTACAGAACTCTGAGCTGGTCTGCGATCAACCTGTAGTGGAACGATTATGGAACTATAGACCATTTGCTCTCAAATCGATTTTGAAATTTGGCAGAAGTTTGCAAATGAATGACATTTCGACGGGCTTAAATTGTTAAAAGCTACATCAGAATGTCCTGATTATCCCAGAGTGACACCTTGAGGTGGTGCAATAAAGTGAAAGTATTACCTGGAGCGTCTGGAAGCGGGCCGCAGCAGAACACATCTCCCCAGCAGTGCACGGCCCCTTTAAGGGTCCTGGTGCACAGTTCTGCCACCAGGGAGCATCAGCGAATAGAAGAAAACATGGACTTTTTCTCTTCATGCACCTTCCTGCGTGTCGGCACACACGTATATTTTGGTCCATGTTTTCTGTCTCTACTTTGAGCTTCTACACACCTTATGCCAAATACTGAATGTTAAACTGTACCGAGCGTAAAACAGCAGTTGATGAATGGCATCGATCCTCGATGTTACTTTTAAGCGAACATGCCAGTTTCTGATACGTGGGGAGATCATTACACACTTGGATTGCATGTTAACAAACCAGCTGGCTGTTTGCACATAGATTGCATGTCTCTGCTGCTTTACCTTGCAAATACACCCGTGTTTACATTTGCTCCCTACTGACAATGGTCACCATGGGTTACCTTGACTCACAACACAGGTAACCAATCAGAGCCCACGGTGGGGGCAGTTCTCTGGAAAAAAAAGAGGAAGCAATAACTGGCAACGTCTGAAGGGAAGAAGAAGAAGAAAATCAACACGATCCACACTGATCAAAAGCCCGGGTGGCTTTTTCCTCCGTGTCTGGGAATCCACAAGAGCAAACTGATCCGAGGTCAGTAAGCAGAGGACGAGGATGAGAACCACTTCCGTTCTTCTTCTGGATCCTGCAGGCAGCTGCTGCTCTGCCACATACAGACACAAACCCTAAACACAAGGTAAGCGTCTGCTTCTTGTTCCACAGAACCCCGGCGCTGCTCTGTGGAGCCACCAGCCCTCCGTAGAACACGGCCAGCAGGGCCTGCAGGGTCAGCAGCGCCGCGGCTCACTCGCGTTACAAGACACGTGCTGGAGGGAAAGTGAAAGTAGATTTTCCAGAGGGCGCGTGGGAGATTCTGAGCAGTTAACTCGCTTTTAAAAACACCCTGCCACCATTTTTTAATAGAACGTGTTTTACGGGTTTGCTGTGAATGAAAACTAAACCAGGAGAACATGAGCCAAAGAGGAAGCAGCAAGGCGCTTAAAGAAGTTTGATGTGTCCGTCATTCCCTGTATTCTCAATCTCCTCTTCCACACACACACACACACACACACACACACACAGTGTTCATTTAACAAGGGCCGGTTACTGCGAGCATCAAGAAGGGCTTATCAGCTGCTCCCTCTCTGCCATATACTGTTATCAGCCTGGCCTAGTTCACAGACACACACACACACACACACACACACACACACACACACACTGGGGAATGAATGTTATGGAGGCTTATCGGTGTCCTCGGGGGGCCTGGCAACCACTTCACAGACTCCGATCCTTCTGCCGAGGCCACAGAGACGAACCTGTGATGAAGAAAAGCTCTGATGTTAGTGACTCCTCTGAGGAATCAGCACGCCGACAATGAACACACGCACACGCATACACAGTGTATGTGTGTTTATATACATTATATATATATATATATTCAGTAACAGTCAAAGGTTTGGACCCACTTTCTATTGAATTGAATGATGTGACCAAACGTTTGATCGGTTCTGTATACAGACACATATATTTAGAACCTTATGTCACTATGGCAGGCAGCGGCAGCTGGGGACAATAATTATTCAGAAGAGCAAACCGAAGCATTTCTTCTGATTTCACTATTTTACCAATAGTGAGAGCGAGCTAGCAGCCTGCGACACTACCCAGCCTGCACGTGGTTGTGGCTGGTAGCTCATTATGTTACAAGCTGCGCTGCAATTTGATAGAAAGTCAGTGTAACGCATGGGGAAATAGTCACTGCTAGTTTATATGAAAACATGCGATTTAGATTAAATACGTCCTCTTAGGCTGCAACTACTTTTTATTCTCTAAGGAAATCACATATTCAGTGCTACTTCCAATCAGAGCAGATGTTAAAAAAGGCTGTAAATTCACATTTAATAAGTAAATCAAACAGTCTATCAACTATGGAAGCACTTACAGATGCAGCTCAATGTTTCCTTACTTTAAATCAAGCTTTGCACATTATTCTAAAAGAAGACGGTTTCTCTTCATTGACCCGTTTCATCTCGTGTCCCACGTAAATGATTGAGCACCAAACACATCAGAGGAAGTCAAAATTGAGAAGGCCACTGCAGCCAGATAATGTTGGCAGCGGTTTGGCGCAGGAATTCAGGAAGCGGTGCCTCCTAACTGAGCCGCGCTTCCTGTGTGATAACTGATCCAAACATGTTGTGCCTCCGTCACACGCACGCTCAGAGACCGCTATTCTGTTTCCACCGTTCTGAGGATTCATGAGGTAAGAAGTGTAGGAACTTGATGTGTATTACCGTGGATGCCGTTTGCACACCGCTGAAGATAAGTGCCGGTGTGCCAACGGCGTTCCCAGCTTGAGTTTGACCTTTGTGAGTAAGAGGCTGCTGTACAGCAGGACGGAATAACATGATAACCTTACAAATGAAGGGCGTAGGAGCAGGGATGTGCAGGGGACTCGGGCGGAGCAACTAAAGGGAATTAACATGAGCAGAGGACAGGGGAGGAAGAAAAACAGAAGAGTTGGTTCAGTTCTAAATGTCCCCTTTCACGGTCAGGTCGTAAAGAATGTGCCGCAACGCCCCCGAAACCTTGAGCGTTGAGCAAAGACATGACGTTTCAAGTTCAACACCAGCAGCCTCCCCCCACCCGCATAACCACGCGCACGCACGCACGCACACATCACAGTGCAAACACTTCCTTCCTGTTGCTGTTTTAGCCTCTTTTAGTAGCAAGATAAGAGCAAAAACATATGTACCAAAGAGGGAAGCAGACGGTGCAGTTTCTCTCTGTTCTCACAGGCAGCATTTCTTTATTTCAAGATTTCATTTTCAAAGTCAGACCGGTTGTACCAGCTGACATCAGCACAGGTGCAGCGGTCTCACTTTGCGTTAACTTGTTTGCTGTTGTTTCTGTCGGTATCCGGCAGGTTCAGTCAGACCACAGGACAGTTAGCAGCCCCCCCACCACTTCCTCATCGAGAGTCGCAGCAGAGCGAGCGAAAGCGCGTTTCCTGTGACGCATCTGTGCCTCTGGTCAATTGGTTCACGTCCTTCTTCCAACTGGTGCATCGTGCCGCACAAGAGAGCGGCCTGATCGCGCTGGGAGCTCCCTGGTGGATCCACACGGACCCTGGATCGCTCCACAGGAACACACCGGACCTCCGTTACTCAACAGGCTTCAGGGGAAAGCTGCGATGCCGTTTGCACACAGATAAGGTTGCGTGTGTGCGATTGAGATCTTCAGCCATGCTGCAGCAGTCAGACCTGATCTTTGACTTTGCCAGCGACCATGTCAATATGTCACAGGTGAGTAAAGGTCAAGCAGTAATGTTGTTTCTTTCTCCATTGAATCTGCCTTCATATAATCTCATTTTTTGGGGGGGCTGCAGTTGGGCAGTTACTCAGATTACCCTCCAGTGATTGTGGAGCAGGTGCCCCATTCACACCTGCTGTCATACGGAGGTCTGACGTACGAACAGACGGACCACCAGCCGCTGCTCAAAGGTCAGTGCGCACAGCGTGTCCAACTAACGCTTATTAAAGTGGCTTAGTTGTGTGACGGTTTTAGTAGTAAGTAAAGTCTCGTAAGGAGACCGCGCATGCGCGGTCGGGGGCCGTCGTCGCACGTGCTCCGCCCTCTGCGAACACCAGGAAGTGAAGCAAAACATCACCGGGGCTGCTGGTCCCGACGAAACCCCGTTAATGAACCATGTCGGGACGCGGACGTGGTCCGCTCGGGCCGCAGCGCGCGTGCTATGACTTGTTCCTCGCTGACGCTGCGAAGTGAAAGTGAGTCCTGTCGCCGTATCGGCTTGTTTTTAGTGCTGCGGTCACGCGAGCAGCGCGCGTCGGGAAAGGCGAGGCGCGCTTATCGGCTAACGGGAACCGGGGAGGAGAACCGGGACCAACCGACCCGGATGAGCCGCGCCGTGTCGATCGCTTACCGGGTTTTCGGGGCGGTGCAGCGCGTTGAACGCACAGATGTTCGCCGGCAGATGTTGTGTAGCTCGCTGCATCGCAGCCGACTCACGTCGGTTAAATAAATGCGCGCACAACAAATAGTCCTTTTGACAATACTGTGTCTTCGGGACGTCCACGTGTCACGGGTGACGTCAAGGCTTTACATATTGTTAATGAATTACATTTAAAAAAATCCCGGCCTAATAAGTAGTAGTCTGTTATCTATCTTAAGTTAAACGCAACAGTTATTGGCGTGAATCTCCAGTTCGGAGCCTTTGCGAATAGTTAATAAGCGTCCTGGTTGATCCGTTTGGGTCATTAAAGGAGAAGCTCAGCCAAACATTTTCTCTCTTATCTCAGTAGATGCAAAGTCGACGGATTCTACGGTCAAACATTAATAGATGGATCACTTCGTCTTTTAATGAATTCATATTCAGCCACAGATGCATCTCAACCAAAACTCTGTAAAGTACGATTGAACATTTGGAGGAAATCCCGTCCCGTCTTCTGAGGGGCACAAGGAAGCCTTCGCCTCAGAGGTGGGCCTACTCAGCAAATTAAATTCCTAATATTATATTGGTTAAGCCAAATTCCACACATTCATCTAGTAATTCATTACTAGATGAACGGAATTTGGCGTGACCGCCAAGCCTCACGTCCTCGGCGCTTATCACGTTTCATTTCCCTTTTACTGAACGCCATCCTGCTAAAATGCTTCTGTGTGTTACTCTCTCCTCTGTCGTCCGCAGTGGAGCAATGTGAAAGTGGAGAGGAGGAGACCATGGAGACGCTTGTTGCTGCCGACTCGCTCCTTAACATGGATTGCCCTGACACCCTCTCCCTGGAACACTACTGTAAGCACACACACACACACACACACACACACACACACACGCCGCTCGCATGCACACTAACCGCGTGGAGAGAAGATGCTCTGATCAAACCTCACCGCTGCTTTCAGCTGTGAGACGTTATTTTTAGAAACGGTGCTCACAGTGCTGTTCTCTCTCATCAAATCTGTTTATGCCTCCTCCCCTGCAGCCCAGACCTTCTTGCCATCACTGGGTGATGTCATCACTGCTCCTGTTACCCAGGTGACGGTGTCAGCGGACGGGATGGTGGGAGCCTTTGACGAGCCACAGTGGCACTCGATGCACACAAGCAAGCCGGCAGCACAGCTGCAGTCCAAAAAGAGAGGTCCGCTGCCTTCTGGGTCATCGCGTTTTCTGAATTATCACGATGGTTGTGTGATTTACTTCTGGTTACGAGCAAATAGTCTGCTTTTATCCTTTGCTGCTCAGGGAGAAAAGCTCGACATAGAAGGGCGGAGTCTCCCACACCGGACATTATAGTGAAGAAGGACAAATACAACAAAGGTGATGTGACAGACAACATGAGTCCAACGGGAATGTGTTTGCAATTCTGTGTGTTGGTATCATGTCTGGAAAAAATGGTTTTGTTTCTTTGGCTGGACTCGAAATTGCCTCCATCCGTGCAGATTCATGCAGACGACCTAAAGCATCCTGGGTCACCAAGTATTTAACAAGGGTGCAACATGGATGAGTTGTGCTCGCGGTTACTCACGTGATCTGCGTTTCTCGGTCATGATCGTTAGTTCTCTCCTGTCGTAAAGGACGGTCCAGTGGTTCCTATGCTAAAGGAGCCGAGCAGGGAAGCTTCGATGGCGGCCACTTCTACTACCTCCGGGTCATTTCACTCAGTTCACAACCGTCCTAAGCAATTTGAACCGAGCCTTTTTGTCCCATGTGTTTGTGCTCCAGGAGGAAACACGCTGTACCTGTGGCAGTTCCTGATGGAGTTGCTGCAGGACCGACAGGTGTGCCCCCGCTACATTAAGTGGACCAATGCTCACGCAGGAATCTTCAAGTTGGTCAACTCCAAAGCGGTGGCCAGACTGTGGGGCAAACACAAGAACAAGCCGGACATGAACTATGAGACGATGGGCAGAGCTCTGAGGTAAGCTGTCAAAGGAGGCGATGAAAGAATGCGATCGTAATCTTTACTTTGAAAACATGTGTGACGTGTTGTGTTCATCCTCATGTAGGTACTACTACCAGAGAGGCATCCTAAATAAGGTTGAAGGCCAGCGCCTCGTCTACCAGTTCACCTCGCTGCCCAAAGATATGATTTACATCACAGATGGCGACGGCATCAAAGCGGAAGACGACGACGACGACGATCACGACGACATCAGTGGCAACGATGAGGCCGCGAGTGACGACTCGGATGCCAGCACTGTATCTTCTAGTGACCAGTCGATTGAGGAGGAAGACGACTTGCCCCCTCCGCAGAAAAAAACCTCCCTGTGCTCGTTTCGAGGCCCGGCCTCCCAGCGAACCAGGGCGGCGCCGCGGCCCGCCGCCCAGCGCGAAACCGTCCTCAGGCCCGCCAGCGCCAGCTTGATCCAGGAGCAGCACTTGCCTATAGTGTCGGCGGAGATGCTCCGGACCCTGCAGAACCTGCAAAAAGTCCAGTCCCTGCAGGGGCCACGCCACGGCCACGCCTCGGTCTTCAAGACGGCTCAGATGCTGGGGAGTCTGTGCGAGCGACAGGCCGCCGCTGAGACGGCTGTGGGCGGCGAGTGCGCTGACGAGACGCCCAATGGAAAGTCGCACCCAGGACCCAAAGGTTCCAGAATGGAGGCTCCACAGCTGGTGCCCCTGACTAGCTCTCATCAGTAAGAGAAGCCACCAGAAACCGTCACACTCACTCCGCTGACTCAGGACCAGCTACTGTCTGCACACAAGGGTATCGGCCTAGGATTGTTTTTGTATTTTAGATTATATTATGATGTCGTATAACTAAAGCAATTCTAGATCACCGCTTCCTCCCGGAGTTGGCAGCCAACCCTCAACATCTAGCAGTTGCCTTTCTGAGCGCGCTTTAAAAGCTCGTGTGCTTTGGCTCAGCCTTCTGTCTCTCCAGCCTTTGACCACACACGACACCAAAGACAGACCTGCACTGGAATCTACAGCCTCTCTGCACCTTCTGCAGATACACCCTCTGCTTGCACTTCACCTCCAGCTGTCACGGAGCCAATCGTCCGATCAGTACACTGTGCCTTCTCTCTCTGCCTTAACTCTTGCTCTTTCTCACTCTTTATTATTGTTGTTGTTGTTTTTTCTATCACATGCTGAATCATTCCTCCGCCTTGAAAATGGCTATGCACTAATGTTTATCCCTGCTGTAGGTTTCTTCTCCTAAGTGCCTGACCATCTCCGTCCCTCCTGTCCCTGCTTCCTGTGCTCCTGATAATCATGCGGTTCTTGAGGGAAAACATTCCATGTTATTGTTATTTTCTAAGATTACTGAATTATGTTTGTATTGTGAAATGTTGAAAACAAGGGATCACTGTTATTTCTAGAGTAGAAATTTAGCACTGCGGATGCCTGTAGTTAATTGTAGCTACTGCTTTCCTTTTGCCGACAATCACCAGTGAAATTGCCTTTTTATTTAGCTGCATTGCCTTCTGTAGAGTCCTACTGCTACTATTTAGCTTTTCTAGTATTCGTACTTTCTCTTTAGTTATTGCATGTGTCTGTACACAAATGCATATATGGACCTCCAAAGCCTTGATATCGTCATGTATTGTGTGTTATATACTGTATGTCTGTGAACATGCTTGACTTGTTGCCATTTTCTCCCTCAGGTTCGTATAAAAAAATAGTTTTACTGCACAGACTATATTATACTCTATGCAAGAGTAAAAAGCTGGCCCTTATGTAATGCAGTAATGCTAAATTGAGTGTTTTCCCTTCAGTTGTTTTGAGTGAAGTCTCACAAACCTCACTAAATGAAAATGTAGCTTTTAGGATTCGAGCAAACTTGTGTGAGGCTGTGTTTGGTTTAGGAGATGCTTGTAACTGCCTTTATCTCCAGGGAACCATATGCAAAACTGTTTTCACTTTATTACTGATTGAGACATTTATTTGGAACCCCCTCGCTTTGCCTCATCTGGAGATCTTTTGATACTGTAAGTTTCACTGATGTTATATAAGCTTGTTGCAGAGGGAGAGACTGAGTTTGTGTTGCCTTACTTTGATGTGTTTGCTTTCATGCAGTCCAGATGTATTGAAAAGATAATGGTCTATTATATAAAATAAACTTAATTTTGTTATTGTCTGTGGAAAACTTCTCGTCTACTCATTTACTCACCTGCTTATACTACTAGTACTGCGCTCAAGAGTACATTTCAGGTACGCTACTATTTACTGGAAAATATTGTACTTTATACTGTATGTAATTTACCTTACAGATGTATTTACTAGTTACTCTGCTGATAGCAATGTATCTTAGTACAATATGAATAACAAAGCAAAAGATTACTTTTAATTTTTCTAAGTACGTAAGTACCAGTAAGTTGAATGCAGTTTTTTCTGTACTACGTTATTGTCACTCATATTTAAGTAAATTATCTAAAGGCTTCTTTCAATCGTTATAATTACGACAGCTACAGTAACTAGATACTTTTACATATATTATAAAGTTTGTCACGAAATAATAGTTTTATAAAATCTCAAATTAGCCCCCTCTTCCACAGTCTTCTTTAAAATGCTCAAATAGTGTATTAAAGTATAATATTTCAATATACACAACTGATTATTGGCAATGACGGATGTATGTTTACAAAATGCAGTTTTCAAGGAATGTCGGCGCTTCATGAACAAACGTGTAGTCAGTGTGAGGCTCCTCCGGGCCGGCGGGTGGCGCTGTGTGGGTGCGCAGTGGGCCTGCGCAGTGCGGGTGCGCAGTGGGCCTGCGCAGTGCGGGTGCGCAGTGGGCGGCCGGATGTTGACAGCCCCGCTGCTGAGCTCGAGCTGTGGCCGTTGCTGCTATCACGTTTCCTGAAGTCTCCACATTTTGCTAGAATCTTCTTGCCGCTCCACGGAGTCTGTTCACATCCGCAGTCGATCCATGGCAACCGAAAGGCGAGACGAAATCAACATAGATTTCTCTATTTTTTTCATTAATTTGTTTGTCTCCAGCTGGTTGTGACTGTTTATGTCTCTTTTTGTTTTAGGAGGTTCCCCGATAGCTTCATTGACAAAGATCCCAAGAAAGCTGTGGAGGTAAACATTAGCGTTAGCCAAAGTTAGCCATATACACACTGTGTCTCATCTCATTCACCTTAGAGTCGTCTGACCCGCGTTAAGGACACTATCATTGACGTTAGCTGAGTGCTGTGTCATCGAGGTGTGTTAACTTGTGTTTTTGATGGTAGCACCTATTTTTACAGTAACCAGCTAACGTTAGCCAACTTAGCTTAGGTTTAGAGCAGGTTTATATTACAACTCTACGTAACTATACTGTTCCCATGACAGCACAACGTGTATTTTGACTTAACGATCATTACCAACGCGTCGGGGTCAAACGACGTCATTCCTAACTTATATAACATTGATAATAAGCATTTTGTTAGCAAGATAACCACACTATTAATGTTAAAGATATTCAACCAACACAGTCCAGCGCGTATCACTGGCCTCAATGACTTGGTTTCCATGTCCTTGTAGTAATATGCTCATTGACCGTGTGTTTGGTGGAGCCTTTCTCATGGATGCTGCTATAAATAGCAGTTGGTCGTGTCAATGTATTAAACTGGAGACAAACAGCTCAGGTTACTTTTCTATCATTGTCACTTGTCACAACGCGGGCTTAATCACTGTTAAGGGTTTCGGAAGGCTCTCGAGGGAGGCCTCACTCCTGGTTCTCGTCCCGGCCGGAAACGAGGACACGAATGAGTCAATTCGTTTAAATTCACAAATCAAAAAGTATTTAATGACTAAACAACGTAATAGGGATTACAATTACAAAGTGAAATACTAAGCGAACAGTGGAATATTTCGCGAAATAGAGAATTCTCTGAGCAAGTCTAAAGTGACTTATCAACGCGGCTGCAGGAGAAGATCTAACAGTCTTTCCCCCGCCATGGCCCTTTGAAACCTCTTGAGGTGTGTCTTCTTTGGTGCATTTGAATGTCATTGGCCTCTTCTCCAAATGGTCACCTCCTCCATTGTCCCTTCCACGTCGAGGTGTGAATCTGCAGCTGTAACCTGAAACCTCTCTGTCCTAGCTGTCCCTCACACGCCAATGCACTCAATGTAGATACAGTGGCTTTATGCCTCAATGAGTGAATTTAACAAAGCATACATCGTTTAAGTCTTCATCTTATAACTAGTACACTTTAATTACAACAACCCATCATTAATGATCCCCGTTCATCACCCTTCATCATAAGATCTAAGACAGTTCATGTGGTTCAATTCTCAAGACATTTGCCTCAGTCGGCTGCCTCGCAATAAGTTGTTCATTTATTACCTGACAGGAGAAAAAACTCCCAAAAAACCCTCTTTGGGGAAAAAATTGGAAGAAATCCATAAAGAACGGCAATTGGCATCCGTCCCCAGGTTTTAACATCACATTGTGACAGAATGTTAATGTGTACAGTGTTTATATGATTTAAAAGACTATAAACTGTGTTTGATTCGCATTGTATTCACTTCATCTAACATGTCAATGTAATAACTAATCTAACATCACACAAACTACAATTCTATCACTAAACATCATTACACGTACTACAAATTCTATGACTAGACATTCACTTCTACTTAAAACCCCAACATCACGACGGTTCTACTAGATGTTCTCTTTGAATCCATCTTGTTCCATGTAGGAGCTTAATGATGCCCTGCAAGAAGACCCTGACAGCGCTGAGTGCTTGTGCCAGCGAGCCTACGCCCACACACTTCTCAAAAACTACAGCTGTAAGTGTGCCAACTACCTGCATCATCTTTTCCAAAGACTTAAAAATATGTAAATGTCTTCACAGTTTTATCAAGCTGTGTTGTTGTCTTCTGGTAACAGAAATAACTAACGCTACACAATGTATAATTTGGTATGGTGTCTCAAATACTGTCCGTTGTGGTTGAGAGAATAACTCTTGTGAAATAATATTCTGGTACCTGAGTAATATATATTGTGATATATTGTGATACAGACGAACGACACTTCTGATGAACACATTTTTTTTGCAGGTGCTGTTGATGATGCCAAAAAAGCACAGCAACTAACACCCGGCCTTCCGCTCGCTTTCCTGCGAACAGGGTGTGTACTTTTATATGATAAGCGATTTGTGCTCAACTGAAGCTCCTGTTGATACAAAGTTGATTGATAAACATAATATTCTGGTACTGGATTTTTACACATCCACTAAAAAAAATGGACATTAAGTCCCATGAAGGTCAATGTCGGTGACATCTCTTCTCTCCAACCAGCCATAAGACGTATGTACAGTTACTGTACTTATTTGACTTCTTTAACAAAGGATATTGTCCAAACTGTGTATGTTGCAGGAGAAGCTTTTATTTTTCCAAGACAGTCTGATCTAATTATTTGTGGCATGTTTTTTATCTCCCAACCACAGAATAGCAGAATACCACCTGAACCACTATGAGTCAGCACATGCAGCTTTAGCACAGGGACAGCAGCTGGATGGTGAGTACAGCCTGTTTGTTTTGCCTCGAGTACAAACTTCCCTTCAGCGCTCGCTCGCTCGCTCTCTCTCTCTCTCTTTTTATTCAAAGGGATGAATCTGTGTCCCTTTTAGCTTTAGAGATTCAGAGTTCCATCCACTTCCATCATAGTCAACGGTTGCATCTGGTCAACGGTTTAACCACAGTCATACACTCACCAGCCACTTTAAAGGTACACTCTGCTGGTAAAAGGTTGGACCTCCTTTGCCTTCAGAACTGCCTTCATTCTTCGCTCCTCAGAGATTTTGGTCCATATTGACGCGATAGCGTCACGCAGTTGCTGCAGATTTGTAAGCTGCACGTCTATGATGCGAATCTCCCGTTCCACAACGTCCCAAAGGAGCTCTGTTGGATTGAGACGTGGGGACTGGAGGCTGTTGGAGTGCAGTGAACTCATTGTGTTGTTCTACAAACCAGCTGGAGACCATGTGAGCTTTGTGACGTGGTGCATTGTCCTGCTGGAAGTAGCCATCAGAAGATGGTTCACTGTGGTCCTAAAGGGATGGACGTGGTCGGCAGCAACACTCGGGTAGACTGCGCCATTTAAACCATGCTCAGCTGGTCCTACGGGACCCAAAGTGTGCCAAGAAAACACCAATAACATGCAATTGAACAGGTGTACCTAATAAAGTGGCCGCTGGGTGTATATTAGTGCTCGATGTGTCGCGCAGATAGAATTGCTACTTTAATGCCAGTTATTTCATTGACAAAACTATACTTACTCCGGATCGAATTGACAAAAAGCGAACTGGGATTCCACATTTCTCTGTGGCATCTACTCATGATATAAGCGCAGAAGTTCACCAGTCTGGTTTTTCTTCTCATCCCCATATTAATATTTCTATATCAAGAGACCAGATTAATTATTATTTACGTTGTTGATGCTTGCAGCCTTCTTTACTGCCTTTCTTGGGTCATTCTTGCTTTTAGATGCGTGGATGTGTTTTCTTCTGGCTGGGCTGAAACGCATGTTGGCTCGCCTGGTTCTTAAGTAACATCAGACCACATGATGAAACAAAAGAGCTGTTGTGCACTTTGAGTTTCGGGACATAAAAGGCAGCCCGGATTGGGTTTGGCTCCAACGATCCCTTTCAGGTGTCCCTTGATGATTAAAGGATTTTAAATCATTAACTAAAAGTATTATTACATATCCAGATTACAAAATGTGTCTCTTGGTGTTTGACACTATTACCTGCATTTTAATGTCAGTGGTCCAGTAGTGACCAAGTCTCTTCAATGGTTCCAAAACCACCAAAACATGGATCCTCTTTTGGTTATATTTGTATATACATCATTTTGTATTCATTCATAATCAACTAATTTTCACTGTTTCTAAGAATTTAAAGCAGTTTTGCTTGTTGAAAAAGCGTCTGCAGCAGCGCAGCAGAGGCTGAAACGCATGTGATGGATGTGACTTCATTGACAACAGAACAAGCTTCTTTTTTTGTAAACAAATTGTCAGTAAAACTGTCACTTTTAAAGTGTGCATCTCCTTTGGCTGCTCATTCAACCGCTTGTTAAAACCTAGTAAATGTATTACTTGGACTACACTAACACCTCTCTGACACTCATTGGGTTTAATTCAATGTTTCCTTGTGATTTCCACAGTTACTGATAAATCATTTGAGTTCTGGATCAAGCAGTGTGAGCAGATGATGAGAGGTGAGTAGCTGAACTGAAACTTCTAAAGTTGCTATAAACTGCTATAATATTAAACATATCAATTATATGTTTAATATCATAGCAGTTTTTAGAGCTGACGTTAATCTTTAGTTGTAGGTTTATGAGGCTATTAGTCTTTTGTGTGTCGAATGTCCAAAGATTGTTAAATATTAGTACACAATATATCTTGTGGCGGTCTTCGTTAAAATATATTCATGACCGTCAAATCCATTAGCGGTTGCTCTCTGATTTCTCTTCCCTATTTACCCGGCGCTGTTAAACGCCAGCTGATCGGCCCGTCTGATCAAACCAGCGAGCGTGCACACATGCACACATGCACCAGTGTTTAGGCGGAGCCGGCCGCTCCAATAAAAGATGCATGGCGCGTCGGGCCGCTGTGTGTCTGTTCGCTGGTGATGCGCGGCCCCTCTGGATCATCTCAAGTAAACAAGAGCATGAGTTTTGACGAACGCGCTTCACACCCGCGTGCACACGTGTGCTCCCAGGAGCGGTGTGATTCATCAGAGTTAAGTTACTGATGTCTGGAAGTCTCCCCCCTCCTCCTCACGGGACCAAACTCCTTCGTAGGCCTTCTCTCTCCCCGACAAATGCACATCAGGGTGTACCTCGCGCAGCCTCAGCACTCTGCCTGCGTCTGCTCACAGTGACACCAGCAGCCCTTTTTGTCTTTTGGTGACTGTGTGTGTTTACTAAGAACCCAGCTGGCTCTTCTGTCGCATGTGGCACCCTGCTGGTTTAGAAATACACAAACTGCCTCCAAACCCCTCAGCCCCCCTCAGCCCTCCTCAGCCCCCCCCCCTCCTCTCGATTTCAAACGCTTCCTCATTAAGAGAAAATCCCCTCTGCGATCTGTCTGTCAGTGTTTCCCCTTTATAACCCATTATAACAGGAGCGCTCCCCCCCCCGAAAGACCCCCTGGGAAGTCAAACAAAAAATATTTTTAAAAACTTTTTTTTTTCCGTACGTGACAGTTTGTCACGACACGTGCGTCAATATGCCGCCATATGTCGCAAGTTTGTACCCGTCAACTTAAATCCCATAAACATTTATCTTTATCGAATGTGTGTTTTTCGACATTGCTGGCGTGGCTAAGAGACAAGAACTTGATTTAGGGAACCTGAGGGTGTTGGTTTAATGTCTGCGCCTCTCCTCTCTTCCCAGAGCCGACGCAGGCCGGCAGCGAGTTGAGGGTGAGTTTCTCTGCGCGGCCACTTGGTGGCGTTGTTGCTCTCAGCATCGGTAGAGATCGTCAGCCCGGCGGAGGCTGCGTTTCCTCCCGAAGCTTCTCCTTATTTTGGTCCTCTCTTCTGTTTGATCCCTCGGCCTTCTCACCGCGTCCTTCTGCCTACTTGTGATCCGGATGAGCGAGCAGACGCCGGCGGTTCCACCTGTGAAGTGAGTGCACAAAGCTTTTCATGTTTGTTTTATTTGTTTCACCGGCGTGATGATTAAACCTGGTGCGTCAAAGCAACCGCGTTCTTTAAATCTGTGAAAACAATGTGCACACGGACGAGACATGTTAATGGTTTGTCCAATCTTATCATTTAAAGTTCATGCAGTTGTATGTATTCACAATAATCTAACTGATCCGTGTGTGTGTTCTTGCAGACACGACTGGTACCAAACAGAGTCTCAAGTCATCGTCACCGTCATGGCAAAAAATGTCCCCAAGGACGGTGTGCGTGTCAGCTTCATGGAGAAAGAGGTGAGACACTTAAGTGCAGTGCTGAAATGAAGACGTACTTTGTTGTGTTTGTGCGTCAAACAGAGATGGCTTTGCTCCTGGGTGTTACCTCAGGGGGGCCCCTCACACACACACACACACACACACACACACACACACACACTCCCCATGGACCAGGCTCTGCCTCCTTGTTAACATTGGCCCCAAAGTACAGATCTAAGAAGAATTTTCCCTCCCCAGCTTCTCCAACCTCCTAATTGTCTGTAGATAGACGTGTAAGTGATCTAGGATCAGCTGCAGAGCCCTCCAGGGACAACGCTTTCCCTTTTTCTCTCTTCCCGTACTTCTTCCTGCTTCTTTTTCCCTCGGAGGGGTAACTGCAGGGCCCCCCAGGGAGCGCCATTCTCTTTCTTAATAGAAAAACAAACCAAGTTTACCCCATTTCAAAAGAAATGGTTCACTCGCTCCAAATCCCACATTGACTAGTTAAGCCGTCCTCTTTGTGTGGTGGGACGTACAGATAAGTTCATATATTCTTTAGTAGGTCAGTGTATACAAAATAAATCCAGATGAAAGGCGCTGGTTCCACTTGTTTTCCCTGGTGACTGCGCATGCAGCAGCTGTAGACTCCCAAGAGCCACTTCGGCTACGTGTCTGAGGAGCCACTTCCTACACAACTACCACACAAAAGTCACACTGTCTATCTTGAGCGAGCTGGGAGGTGTCGATTCGCAAAACGGTGTCCAAGTGCTGCACTGAGATGAGATGATGGCGGCTGAGTTCTTCCAGGCTGAAGGGGTGTGAAGAGTTGGGCCACTGCCGAGTCCACGGCCGAGTCCACGCGCCCCCCCCCCCCCTCCTCTCCAGTCCTAGTGAGTGACAGGCTGTAAGAGCTGCCCCCCCCCCCCCCCCCCCCCCCCGCCATCATCACTGGTCACCCCTGTGGCTGAAGGGGACAGGCAGAGAGACAAAGAGGACACTCCTGTCCAACGAACCAGCCACATCAGGCGATGCTTCTCGTGGACAAGCTGACAATCTCGCCCCCCTTCACACACACACACACACACACACACACACACACACACACTTCTCTTCTATCTGTTGCTTCAGTTATTATGTCATCTGACAAGAACAACAACGGCAGGTTAAAGGCCATTACGAGCTGCTAATGTGATGTTTGGTGTCTCCTCAGCTCTCTGCCACCATACAGCTGGCATCGGGGGAGAACTTCAACCTCGACCTCCACCTGCTGCACTCAATCGTCCCTCAACAGAGCAACTTCAAGATCCTCACCACCAAGGTACCCGCCACTGACCGCCGGTCCAGTGAGCAACATGTAGTCCGCTCTTTAGGGAGGAAACATATTTTACTGTTCAACATACATTTTTGATGACTGAACTGGTTAACAGACATTTAGTCAGTGACTGATGAAATGCTTATGAAGCAGAAACAAGCTGCCTGCTTTCAACTCCACCATGTCTATTTAATAGAACTCTATTTCTATAACTCAGAGCATCTCAGTATCTCGTTGTAACTAAAATATTCCGATCAAATCCAGACAAAAACCGGATTGAATCGATTTGGGAAATCAGTGGCAGTACAGATGTTTTCCTCCACACCAGCCCTGCAGTGGAACATGCATCTGTTTACCACTAAAAAAGAAAGAAAGAACATTGTTGGGTCACTGAGTTTTGGGGAGACAGTGAGGACACGGCGCGTCCCAGTGGATCCACTCAGCGGTAAAGAAGCAGAGTATTAAACCTGTCAGGGATCATGTTTTATGAGCTATAAAGAAAGTATGATCGCAGTAATGTCACACATCCCGGAATGTGCTTCTAATCTCCGAACCGTATTTTGGCCCGACAGCCTCCCGTGCAGCATCACCACCTCGGTCAGGCTACTATTGTCTGAATAGCAGATCTTTAATTATTCTTTGTGTCGTTTTAAAATGCTGATGATCTAAATGATGGGACGCAGTGAAAGAAGAGGACCACGCAGATGCCACTTTAAGCAGCTCGGTGAAATTGACTGATCATTACACTCTGAGATTAACATCTACAATGTGTAAAGCTCGCTGTCACTACCTATAATTCCTTCATGCCGACTAAGCTCACTGTAGCTAGATACAGTGAGGCTCCCGTGGAGACGTTCATCCCAACAGGATATGCACACAAATCCGTACTCCTACACACACACACACACACACACACACACACACTTATCAGGGATCCTTCGCTCTGTTAAAGGTGATTATGAGCCTAATGAGTAGGAAGGGCACGGTTTACCAAGGACTAATTAGTGTGAACATAGAGGATGTGGGCTGAGGACGGTGCTGATTCAGGTTTCAGCCCGAGGATCAAGAGGTTTTGTGTGATTTGTATTGATTTTCCTTTTTTTAAATCATTAAGGAGAAAGAGATCGTCTTCTAGGCGATTGATCAGGCCGGCCCTCTGTCTGTCATGAGGATCCCCTGTGTGCCTCACGCGTCCCAAGTAGCTCCACAAAGAGTAGCCAGTCACACATATGAGGGAACACTCGTGTTGTCCACTTATATGTGTTTTAAATATGATTGAACTTCAGGGGGCAAATTCTAACTAAAATCCCAGCAGAATATCAGGGCGGATTTACCCAGCAAAGCGCCAATGCGAGCTTCAGCTACACACGTGTGTCCCCTCGGACACCCGGCGGCTCCACCGCTCTCACGCCCGTTACCGGCACAGGCCAGCGCGCCGCGCCCACGTCATATCGCGGCAGCGAGCACAGCGTTGGACGCAGCGGGCGATGGACCCGGCGGGCAGCAGCTGCAGGCAGTTTCCACTTCCTGTAGTGACCCCGGGTCTGACCTTCCACAGGCAGTCCATCCACTACTGAATCTACTGAATACAAACTCAAAGTTTACTTTTGGCCGAAGTTGAATCCCACGTGAGGAGAAAAAGGTTATTGCTCAATAAAATGAGGATGGCCGATGTATAGAAGCGGTTATGTTCGACCTTTATGGAAATGAAAAAAGCTTCTGTGGGACGAAGAGAATTTACACAAGACACCTACACGGGGGGAGCGCGCTGCAGACCAGATGGATACTGCATCTGAGTACATAGATGTCATGTTTAATTAAATCTCTTTATAGAAATCGAATTTATTTATATATATATATATATAATTAATTGATATATATTATGTACTAATTACCTTTTATTCACAACCTCACATTGCAGCCTGTAATAAGCTTCTTTGGGGTTTTGACTTTAATACAATATATTTAAACCTGGAAGAACAGATTAGGAAGCTTTCCCCCTCTATGCAGCTCATCCATCTGCTGAGGTGGATACCTGGCTCTTCAGTTCATAAATGCTCCGCTGTGTGTCTTTTGCTGTGGAGCAGGTAGTATCAGGATCACCAGCTCACGCCATAGAGCCTCTGCACGCAATCAGGTTATTTATTCTCCTTCATCACAGCAGGGGCCCCGGGGGGACAAAAGTGCATGATCTCAGGTGCTGAAAATATACCTTGTACAGCAAAAAATAGTTTGGTGGCATTTCATAACCTGACATCTGTGTTCTATTCATCGGCTGCGCGGAATGGAGACTGACCTGCACAGAGACTCAAAAAGGGAAACCACTCACTTTTCCATGGCAACAGCAGCCTGCATACCAGAGGTGCACGTGGGTTGCAGCTTAAACAAGGGCTCAGTCTTCTAGAGACCACAGCTGAAGATGGGTTGACCCCCCTCTTTCTTCCCATTTCTGTTTCTCTGTTTTGTGTGTCTCTCCGTGGTCTGTCACACACACACACACACACACACACACACACAAACCCACCTTCTGTCTGCCTTTGTCTCCGTCTTGCGTTCTTAGACACACACACACACACACACATACCTCTACCTCCCGGATAACGAGAGAGTGTTTAAACCCTCCTCCTCTCCCACAGAGCGCTGCCTGTTCCCTGGTCCACTGGGCTCCTGCGGTACACATGGCGCGCGCACACACACATACACACACACACACACACACACACACACACAACCAGGCTCGTAATCCCTCATTGGCAGCATTCATACATTGAAGACGGCATAACCGGCACCTCAGAGCGATACAGGTGAAAGGCAACGCGTGTCTCATTTAACTGTTTTTCACCAACCCGGAGCAAAGAAACATTTCAAATGAACAACGACATCCGCGAATCAAAGTTCCCTCTCCGATCGACACGCATCTCTAATACGAGCCGACCGGCCGCCTGCACTCTGCGTCCTCAATGTTCACGCTTCATTTCCTCGCTGTCTTTAAAGACAACTTAGCAGGGGGAGGCTAAGCCGGGCGTGAGCGTGCACACACACACACACGAATACAGAGGCTGAACAGTAATCTTCCAACACACTAGTGCCATTTGCACAAAGTATTTGCTGTGTGTGTGTGTGTGTGTGTGTCGTCTGTAGCACGTCATCGGCAGTGTAACCTCCTCTTGTCCACCCCGACAGACATTCCAACCGCAGGGGTCACCGCGACCACGGGGAGCCAATTACACACCAGTGTGTTTGATCAGAACAGACGGCTTCCGCACACACACACACACGCACACACACACACACACGCAGACACACTCAACGGGATCCACACGCGCCCGTTCATTCACTTCCAAACTCATCTGCTTTTGGCAAATAGCTAAAGAGGCGTCTGCGCTCTTTAATTTCCACGCCTGTCAACGTCTAAGAATGTTTATATTTATTCATTCATGCAGCTTTCTTGCCGAGTTTGTTTTGAAATCCGCAGGGATCTGAAGAAAGAGGGAGGCGATAGTGGTTGAGGAGGGGGGGGGGGTCACGAACGCATGTGACAAACGACGCGGGACCCCAGTGCCCTTCTGTAAATAGCATGTGTGTGTGTGTCCAAACACGTGTGTGTAGTGCCGTGTTGTATTGTCCAGCCCAAGGGTCCTGTGGGTGGTGGCCCCCCGAATGTGGCTGTGCTGTCACATCCCTTTACTAGCCATCTCTGCGCCTGTCACACACACACACACACACACACACACACACGCGGCCTGGCCTGCCACGTCCTTTAGAAGCCAGGAAGCACAGATGTGGCAGCAGATTAATGTTGTATGATCCAGGAGCTCGCACAGAAGCACACACGCTTCCAGGCTTCAGTCCTGCTGCACTAAACACGACACAAATTACAGACACTATGCAGCACCTGCAGAGACACTTCTTTAAATTCATTTAAAGGATTTTGATTAAAAATGATTTTTTCTTTGGCATATACTTCAAATAAGTGCACAGTATAATTGGATCTGAAGGGGTTAAAAAGGTGTTTTTCTTTCATCTCAACTTAAAATCAGACTGTTTGTCCACAGAATAAACAAAACATTTAATAAAACACACGATCCAAAGAGATCCGAATCACGTCCCGGCTACAAAGGCCGCAGTAATGTGGATGCCAACTATCTGTCAGCCGTTAGAGCAGGTTGGCAAATCAGCACTCTGATGCATCCTGAAGCCCTGCAAGCCCCACGAGAACCCTCGGCGAGCTCCCAGGAGCCTCTCTGCCCGAGTACAGGTACATCTGTCAAGGAAACCGAAAACGATTTCACACGCCAAGAAGAGCCGTCTATTGAAATTATGTTATCAACAAAAACAGTCAAAACTGATGAAGGATTTAATGTAGAAACCTTTTCTTGGCTCCATTTAGAACACGGACACGGGAGGAGAAGGCCACATTGGACCGTTGTGACCAAACACAGCGCCAGATTTTTCTAATTGATTCCAAATCCAAACGGGAGCTTCTATAAACTGCTGAGACCAAATAAATAAAGCTGTCTGTTAGCGGCGCCTATAAATGGGCCAGAATTCAACCTTTGGACTTTTCAGTCACCCACCTCCACATTTATATGCACGCGGACTCGTAGCGTTTTTGAATTTTGATTCAACGTCCAGATATATTTTTTTAAAGCGCCACCTCGGCTTTTGTGGTAATGATTCAGCCGGGAGGGTTTCATGCAAATCCCCTCTTTTGAAGTGAAGACCCCAACGTCGTCTGTGCATAAAACCCAATTCGACGAGCCCGTGTTTCCTCCAGAGCCCCCGGACGCCCGAAATAACTTCCCCAAACTCTGCAGGCGGACTAATGCGACGCGTGGCTGCGGCGTCGTGCAGCGGTGATTCAAAGCGCTTCTCCTTTCAATCACATTTCATTTACTCTCCTTACGCTCACTGACTCCAGGTCTGCTCACTACAACGTGGCGCTCCGCCTCGTTGGGAAGGAAAACATCAAATGTTCATGACCGATCAGTCGCGTTGGAGCGAGGGCCGAGGCGCGACGAGTGATTCAAACACGGGTGTAAGGGCCCCGAGTCCTTCAAACCGCCACCGCGCCGGTCAGCGTGACGTGGACGTGAATGTCACGCTGGTTTTCAGTTTGTTGCACCGCTCGCCAAAAAACCACAAACAGCAGGTGATCCTGAAAAGAGAGGTTTGATTGCGGACAGCGGATCCTGGAGAGGCAGATCCCCCCGAAGAGATCCATCAGTACACGGCCGCCTCGCCTAAGCAGGCAGCAGCGACGGTGGCGTCTCAATCGGCTCCTCCGGGTGCCACTCGGCCTCCCTGCCCCCCCCTCATAAATGAAGCATCACATCGGCCAGTAGAGCAGAAATGTTCCTTAATTGCATCGACATCACCAGCGCTGTCTTTCTCATGCGCATATATCAAACGCTCGCACGCGGCATTAATGGCTGCTGGTGGGG